AATAATACTAACCTAGACGATAAGTTCAATAAAGGTAAAGTAAAATTTTGCCCCCCAATTATAATGGCCGAAAGTAATTTCAAAAATGTAATAGATTTTGTTAAAACAAAAATTAAAATTGAAAAAAATAATTTTAAAGTTACTAATAATTTTAGGAAAAATAAAACCAAAATATTTGTAACTGATTCGAATTTACACAGGGATATATTGGAATATTTGCGAGGAAAAAATATTGATTCGTTTTCATATACACCAAAAGATAAAAAGGTAATTAATTTATTATTAAAAGGTATAAATAGTGCTTTTACTGTCACTGATGTTGAAAATGAATTGAAAAATTTGTTTCCACATATAAAATTCTCGAAGATTTGCAATTTCTCAACAATAAATTCTAGAGCCAAGGGTATAAATCTGGGAATTATTTTGGTTCAACTTGAACCGGGCGAAAATATACAACAGCTAATAAAAACTAATTATATTCTGTACCAAAAGGTATATTGGGAGCAATTATTAGTAGACAAACCAGTTCAATGTATGAGATGTCAAGACTTCGGACATGCAGCATCCAACTGCAGTAGAAAATATAGATGCGTTAAATGTACTTTTGAACACGGGCCAAAAGAATGTCCAATAATAAGAAATAAAGATAAACCAGTTTGCACGAACTGTGGAGGTGAACATCCAGCCAATTATCGTGGTTGCGAATATTACAAAGAATATTTGGCCAGGCGTAGATATAGGTTAAAAAGCCAAAAAGAAAAAATAACTAAATCGAAAAAAGTAAGTTACAGTAGCTATATTGACAACAAAACATCTTTCGCTAGCCTATTTCGCAAGGAAAACCAAAATAAAAGGGGTGAAAAAGGCAAAAAGAACAATGAAACGATAAATGAATTTTTAGAAATATCAAATGATTTATTTGGAATGAGTCTTACAAATCTATTACAGGAAATTGGCGAATTTATGACAATTTATAAAAAGTTAAAAACGTTAGAAGAAAAACAATTTTCGTATATTCAATTTATAGTAAAGTTGCAAAATAATAATGATGATTAATAATATATCAACTATAATATTAAATGTTCAATCAATAAGGAATCTAGGTAGAAGGACTTTTCTTCACAGTATATTGGAAGACCTAGAACCAAACTTTGCTTTCATAACTGAAACTAGATTAAAATCGTTTCACAAAGTTGTTATGGATAATTATAAAATGATGAGAAATGACAAAGGTCAGGGTTCGGCAATTTTCTTCCAAAAAAATTTCAAATTGAATCAATTAGACGCAACCAATTTCGAAATGCCTATAACTCTTGCAAGTGGTACTTTAATTGACTCTAATAGCGCTAGAAAAACATTATTATTGTGTTCGATTTACATAAGGCCAAATTGTTCAGCTAATACTATAAAGGATACGTTAAGCAAAATTAACAATATGGCGAAAAACTATGACTTTTGCATATGTGGCGGGGATCTCAACTCTAGGCACATTAATTTCGGAGATACGGCTTCCAATGCCAATGGTCAAGTTTTGAACACGTGGTTTGAAGACAACATTAGTGAGACAAGCCTAAATGTGATTTCACCAGGATCACCAACATTTCCAAGAAGCTCTTCAATCCTAGATTTGTTTATTATATCTGAAAATTTAATTAATAATCTCACTAACAACATCTTATGTCGAACGTATCCTTCCTTCTCAGATCATCTCACCATAAAAATGGATATATCTTTAAGTAGGTATAATATTGAATTAGCTGAGCCGAGAAAATTCAAGTCCTTTAAAAATACAAATTGGGTAAGATTTAGAAACGAAATAGAAAATTCTCTTACAAATGAACCTAATTTTCCACCTAACAACCGAAACCTAAATAACGAAGAAATAGATTATTTTATAAATAATTTTAATAATGTCATTAAAAATGTTTTAGATAATAACTCTGTGACGATTGAATCAAATATCAGAAAATTTAAGGATTTACCTAATGATGTTAAACATTTAATAGATATTAAAAGGAAATGGCAATATAAATTGAAAGCTATTTATCATAAGTATTTCAATCGACGTTCGAACGAATACAGAAGTTTAGAGTCAAGACTAAATTGTCTAAAGAAACTAATTAGTGAGAAAATATCTCTATATTTTAATACAAGGTTTCATAACAAGCTGAAAAGCATAAAACCAGGCCCAGAAGCGTTTAAAGAAATCAGAAAAATAATAGGAACAAAAGCTGACAAAACTTTTGACGTAGCACAAAATGGTGTCTCTTTAACAACGAACCAACAAAAATTATTTGCTTTCCAGAATTATTATACAAATTTATATGGATTAAAACCAACAGAGTCTAAAGTTGATCAGGAAATATGTGATGTTGTTACTAACTATATCAACTCACAGAGAGGTTGTAATAACGAAATAATTCCAATTACCACCTTTTCCGATACGAGCAATTCATTGCAAAACTCTGGAAAATTTATGAAATTATTGGATATTAAAAATATTTGTAACAATCTAAATAACAAAAAATCTACGGGACCTGACGAAATCAGTAATTTTGTAATTAAAAAATTACCAGATTGTGCGTTTAAGTATCTTTGCGTAATTTTCAATAACTGTATCAACAACGGCTACTTTCCAAATTCGTGGAAAATAGCCAGACTGTTACCAATTCCCAAAAGCAAAGCCAACTGTGAACCTAAGGATTTCCGCCCAATATCCTTGCTTTCTAACATTGGAAAAATTTTGGAAAGATTTATTTATGACAAAATTGAGAACTTCTGTATGTTACATCATATTATTCCAAAGTTTCAGTTCGGATTTCAGGCGAAACACTCGTCTACTGATGCATTACTTAAATTCCACAATGACGTAAATAATAGCTTGAGAAGTAAAAAAAGTAGTGTAGTATTAAAATTAGACACAGAAAAAGCATTCGACTCTGTTTGGACCATGGGATTAAAATATAAGTTAATAAAATTAAATTTTCCTACTGAAATAATAAGAATAGTAAATAGCTTTTTGGAAGATAGATTTCTTTTCGTGAACATTAGTGATGAAAAATCAGATTTGGTCAGAGTCGACAAAGGAGTCCCACAGGGTTCCATAACGGGACCCAAGCTTTTTAATATATACATGCATGATATACCAGCATCGTTTTATGACGGTCGAAGACAGGAAAGATCGAAACTAATCTTATATGCAGACGATACTTTACTATATTCACACGCAGAAAACCCGAAAATCGCCAAAAAATACGTAGAGAAACATGCTGAAAAAATAATTGAATTTAACAAAAAATGGAAGGTAAAAATTAACACTAGTAAATCGGAACTGATTTGCATAAGAAATGCTAGTGGAAAAGGACCACGAAATGCAGTAAAACAAAGTAATAACATAAAATTAAAGTTAGAACAAGAACAACTACTTTGTAAGAAAAATTTTAAATATCTCGGTATTCATTTCAACTTTCTACTTAAATTTAATTTACACGTAAACTACATACTGCAGAAAGCCGCAGGGGCGTATTCATTCCTGAGACCTTTGTTGACTCATAATGGTTTAAACGAAAAAAGTAAAATTTTAATATACAAACAGCTTATTCGTCCAATAATGACTTATGGTTTTCCCATTTGGTTCACATGCTCTCCAACATATGCTGAGAAATTGCAAATTTTTGAAAGGAAAGTCCTGAGAAATTGCACAAATAAGTATTACGAATCTCAAAATCGTAGATATTCCAATGACTTCCTGTATAATGAGGCGAAAATCGTACCACTGTATCAATATATGATAAACAATTCTCTTAAATATATAGAAAGAATAAAAAATCATCCCAATGAAATAGTTAAAAGAATATGTAATGAGGGTAATATAAATTTTGAATATTATCTCTCACCATTATATTTGAGTAATATAGAATCAACTAACCTATTTGAAATTAATACTAACAATTTGCCTAGGTTCTACAATTATTCCGTAGATACTAGAAATAATCATCGAGGCTAATTGGGCCAAGATGGAAACGTAGGTTAGGGTTAGAAGAGTTAAGGTTAGTTTTAAAAATAGTTTTAAGTTTTATCTATACAACAAAAAAAAAAAAAAAAAAAAAAAAAAAAATAAATAAAATAAAAAATGAATTTAGCACCGGGTGCAAGTGCGAAAGTAAAAATTAAAAAGATACGTAAAAAAAAAAAAAAAAAAAAAAAAGTAATAGATATACTAAGTCACTTTCAACTTAAAACTTACTATTTACTATTTTTGTAAAAAATAAAACCATCAAACCAAACATTGGACATAGTTTGATAAATCAACCATAATTATGTATATAATCATGTAACACAAATTACAATGTAAAATTATTTTGCAGGGATAATAAAGACTCTTTTTTCAATAATAAAAAAAAAATAATAATGTTTTTCTAAAGTTATCCATGTTGTAATGGTAAGTGTATCATTTCCAATCGAAAATGCTTAAACATAATTTCCATATTCTAAGGCAGCATCCTTTTAGGTTTTTAGGTTCTAACATCTGTAAATAGAAAACGTAAAAGGATGGAAGGTTATAGCGCCTGAGCTCGCTTTCCGGAAATCCAGGATGTGGAATTGGGGAAGGAGAGGAAAAAAAAAATAAATTAATAATCGGAAATTTTTGATTAAATCAAAAAAAAATTATTAATTAAATTTAAATATATATATATAGATATATTTAAGTGTAGATTCGAAAATATTGTATTAGGTGCATCTTGTAGTATTAAGTGTAGACTCGCAAAATTTTGTATTAGGTGTTCTCGTAGTATTAAGTGTAGGTTCGTAAATTTTGTATTAGGTGTTCTCCTAGTATTAAGTGTAGGACCGCAAATTTGATACAGTGTAGGTGCATAATTCCGATATAGTGTAGGTGCATAATTTCGATATAGCGTAGGTACATAATTTCAATAAAGTGTAGGTGCATAGTTTACGTTCGCGAATTTTTTTGCGTACGATTAAGCATTCTCGATTGATCAATGCGATGTTTCGGTTTCGTTCGCCCTTGAATGTATTGGTAGTAAGCAAATCTTCACTATTGAACGTTTTAGTGTCCCATTCTTCGTCTTGATGGTAACTACTCGAACTAGTCCATCTGGACCGGGGTGAGTCTCGATGATGCGGCCCATCAGCCATCTGCTTGGTGGCAAATTTTCATCTTTTAGGAGGACCAAGTCTCCCAATTGCATATTGTCATGCCTTTTAGTCCATTTTGGACGTTGTTGTAATCTGCACAAATATTCGCGGCTCCAAAAAGTCCAAAAGGTTTGATACAGCTTTTGAAGCAGTTGTCATCTGTTCAGCCGATTTTCAGCAAGATCTAAGATTGAAGGTTCAGGTGGCGTAACAATTACGTCGCCAATCAAAAAATGCCCAGGTGTTAGAGCCGTATAATCTTCTGGATTTCTCCTGATCTCGCATAAAGGCCTAGAATTTAGACAGGCTTCAATTTGAGCTAGAACAGTTGTCAATTCTTCATATGTTAATTTAATATTGCCGAGTACTCTCCTTAAGTGTTGCTTGGTAGATCGTACTCCAGCCTCCCACAAACCGCCGAAATGAGGTGAGCCCGGTGGTATAAAATGGAATGCAACACCTTCATTTTCGTGCGACTGCGCCAACTCTTCTTTTAATTGCTGTAGCATTTGTTTGTGTTGTTTGGCAATTTCCTTATTGGCCCCAACAAAATTAGTGCCGTTGTCACAGTAGATAGCTTGACATTTGCCACGTCTGCTGCTAAATCGTCTGTAAGCCGCGATGAAGCCTTCACTACTAAGATCCGTCACCAGTTCTATATGCATGGCCCTTTCTGTGAGGCATATGAAAATTGCAATGTATGCCTTGTACATCCTAGGATTTTTACCTTTGTGAGTCTTGATTTTAAAAGGCCCGCAGTAGTCAACTCCAGTATGTGTGAATGGTCGTGCAGTCCTGACTCGAAAAGCTGGCAAATCACCCATTAATTGGGTTTGAACTGCCGCGCGCTGTTTGTAGCATGTTATACACTTATGTATCACTTGTCGAATCTGGTTTCCTGCGCCAGTAATCCAATAGTTCCTATTTAACACATTCAACATAAGTTGGGCGCCACCATGTAAAGTTTCGCGATGAACCTTTTCCAACAATAGTCGCACAAAGGGACTTTTATCGGGAAGAATAATAGGAAATCTTTCATTGTAGTTTAATTCTGAGTGACGTAATCGACCTGCCATGCGCAATATTCCATTTTCGTCTAAAAAAAAGCTCAGTTTTGACAGACTACTATTTCCATTTATAACTTTTCGTTTTTGAAGCTCATATTTTTCATGCGCAAAATGATGCCCTTGAACAATGCGTATCCATGTAAATACACTTGCATTGAATTCTGTTGCTGTTATAGAACGGCCACCATGCTTGACTTTCTTAATAACATTCATAAATCTTTTCACATAGCTAGTTACTCGTATTAATTTCGTAAATGTTGAAAACCTATTTTGTAACCCTAGAATGTTGTTATCGTGATGATCGTTAGTGAGTGTACTGTAGCAAGTTGCTGATTTACGCACCTCTTCGTCGGTGCTCTTGCATGTGGCTGTATGAGGCCAAAATTGTTCAGGCATGCCCAACCATTCAGGTCCGCGCCACCATAAGTCCAGATTCGGCAGTTCTGACGGTAGGACACCCCGCGAAGCACAGTCTGCTGGGTTCTGCTTTGACGGTACATGTCGCCATATATTCTTTTCTAATAAATGGTGGATCTCAGCAGTTCGATTTGCCACAAAAGTAGTCCATTTACTTGGATGCCCTTGAAGCCAGGCCAAAACAATCTGGGAATCAGTCCAGGCCCGTACCTCTGACCAGTTCGTAATATTCAAAACGCAGATCATCCGTCTTATTAATTTTGCTAACAATGCTGCTCCACTCAGCTCTAGTCTTGGTAAAGAAATCGTCTTTATTGGAGCTGCTTTTGACTTTGCCGCCACAAGACTAATTTGCCTGTTACCGCTTTCGTTTGTGACTACCAAATAGACAACTGCCGCATACGCTTTAATTGAAGCATCGCAAAAACCATGTAGTTCCATTTTACATGCCGTCGAGGTGTAACTGAACCATCTAGTAATCTTAATCTTTTCTAATTCCATAAGACTGGATCTGTAGTTCTGCCATTCATCCTGTAGTGCCTTTTCCAAATCATCGTCCCAGCCCGAACGAGACAGCCATAATTTCTGTATCATTATCTTGGCCAAAATGATACAGGGTGCCAGCCAACCAAGCGGATCGAACAATTTAGACACTTCTGATAGAACTGATCGCTTTGTCCATTTCGAGGCTTCATCCTCCAATTTGGTAATTCTATACGAGAAGCAGTCGTTGGTTGGGTCCCATTGCACTCCTAGCGTCTTTACCGTTTCTGCATCCTCTATTTGCAAAGGCCATTCAATTTCTCGGTGCTCCTTAGGAACCGCCTGCAGTAATGGTGCCGCATTTGATGACCACTTACGTAATGAAAATCCACCCGAAGCCATCATGTTGATGAGTTGTTTCTGAAGTTGTAGTGCTTCTTCAAGTGAATCTGCGCCAGATAGCAAATCGTCAACATAAAAGGACTCTAATGTTACCTGCGATGCCGAAGGATATCTGATCCTTTCATCTGTAGCCAGCTGCTTTAACACTCGCGTAGCTAAAAAGGGTGCGGATTTAGTGCCAAAAGTCACGGTAGTTAATTTATAATCACAAATAGGTTGTCTAGGTCATTCTCGCCAAACTATTCGCTGATAATCGGTGTGTTTACTTTGCCAACTTTATATTTTCGAAATCGGAGCAAAAGAGTGGCCAAGTCGTCTTGGATGACTGGGCCCTTCATCATCTTGTCATTCAAGGATGAGCCGTTGGATGTGGGTCGCGGGGCATCTAAAACAACTCTTAATTTCGTGGTGGAGCTACTCTCCTTGATGACACCGTGATGCGGTAAATAATTGGAAATGACCTTTTGATTTTCATTTCTCAACTCGACTGGTTCCACCTTTTGCATATGATTCATGTTGCTATACTCATTAATGCACTTGATATAATCCTCTTGGAGTTGTCGATTTTTGCAAAACTGTTTTTCCATACCAAAGAGTCTGGCAACTGCAATGTGTCTCGAACTTCCAATCTCAATTGGGTCCTCTTCTATGAATGGTAGCTCCACCTGGTATCGTCCATATGCAGACCTTGAATGTGTACTGCAAAAATGTTTCTCGCATCAATCGGTGCGCCAAACGGACCCTTCCTTAAACCGTCTAATATTATTTGGCCAAAAACGTCAGCACCGATGAGTACGTCTATTTTTCCCATCTTGAAATTTTCGGGGTCAGCTAAAGTTAATCCATTCAGGTGTGGCCACTCTTGCACGAAGATGTCTCGCTCTGGTAACAAGTTCGTCAATCTTTTAAGCCCTAAACCCGAAACCTGTACTCCTGTAGAGCCATTTGCACTTTCAATTATTGCTTTGACCCTAGCCAATGATTGGCCAATATTTGTTTGTGATACACCGTGTATGTCAGCGACTATTCTCTCCTTTTTTAAACTTAAGCCTTGCACCAGTGACTCTGTTATAAAAGAACTTTGTGAGCCGGGATCAATCAGCCCCTTAGCTCTTTGATATCGGCCCGTAGTAGGTGAAACAACTCTGATATATGCTGTAGCTAGCAAGACCTGTTGTCTGGAATTGGCAGCCGTGCCGCATGTGTGGACGTTATGACTGTACCCGGCAGTCATAAGGTGCCAAAGTGGAGAACTCTGGCGCCACCGCTACTGCTTGCTGTGGAGTATGTACATGAAGCACCATTATTCGTTGACCCAGATGTAGCAACATGAAATGAAGTACTGCCCTTGTTCCGGTTTGAGTCGTTCTGTACTTGACTCCTTGAACCTGCAAATACTTTTCTAGCTGCTATTGCCTCCAATGTGCGGAACCTTGTTTTTAAAAAGTTTTCAAGCTGTCGTCAAGTTGGTAGCTGCTTTTCGACGCTTATGTTTTGTTCCCAAAGCTGATGCGTTTCCATTGGTAGCTTCTGGACTATGAGGTACACTGTAATTGGATCCCAGCCTTCCACATCATTTTGTAGATTTGTGAGAGCTTGTAAGCATTCATTTGTTGTGTCTAAAAGCCTTCTCACTGCAATGGCTGATTCCTGGTGCACGATCGCCTGGCCTGGCCAAGAAGCCGTTTCAATAGCGTGTTGACTAGCACCCGCTTGTTGTCGTAACGCTCCTTTAGCATGTTGAATGCAGCCATATAGTTGCCCTCTGTTACCTGAAAAGCTCTTAGCAATTGTTCGGGCTCCCCAGTAAGATGCAACTTTAGATATTGTAATTTTTGTACTGCCGGAAAAGTTTCATTATTGTGAACCAGAGATCTAAAAAGGTCGTAAAAGGAAGGCCATTTCTGGTAATCACCATCAAATTTTGCCAGCGTTATCTTTGGCAGGTTTATCGCCACACTTGAAACCTCCTTTCTCATGCTTATGCTATGGTTCGGATCCACTTTCAAGTCCGCCTCCCTATTCGGAAACCTGTCGACCATTTCAGTATCTATGGACTGATGGCTAGTTCTCGAGGTACTTGCACTTCGTGCTCTCTGCGTTCCTATCTGTGTAAGAGGCCACCACAATCTGTCGAAGACGCTTCTTTATCTCATTATAAAGGGTCTCTATGTCGTTCAAAACTTCCTCTTAACACTCCCTTTGGTTTATTTTCCCTTTTGTCCCTAGAAAAATGTGTTACTATCTCCTCTATCTCCGCAACTTAATTAACTTGTCCATGTTAATCCCTATGTATTTAATTTATTTATTTATAAGGTTCCAAATCCGTACCAATTAGATCCCAAACAAATCAATTAAACAATTTAAACACTCAAAATAATATCTTTACTTTCAACTATATATATATATTTTGTCTAGTTTTATTGAAATTACAACTATTTTATTAATTAATTACAACTAGTGTCAAATAGTTCCTTAAATATTAATTTAATTCAATCTGAATCACAAAGTATTATTTGCAAAGTACCACGCAAGTATTCATAAAATTTTAATATATATTTTTCTCTCCTTTTTTTTCACTAAAACTTATTCTTCATTATGTCAAAAAAAAAATAAAAATTTTTTCCCGAAAAATTGTTCCTTCTCTTTTTTTTTTTTTAACCACTCAAGAAGAGGACAAAACGTATTATCAAAACAAAATCTATCTCTATTTAAACCGCCAAAATTATTTTAGAAAGATCCAGTCAAATCCGCCAGTAAAATTTGTTTCAAAAAAAATTTTAAACCATTTATGTAAAATATTTTCATAAAGAAAGAAATCCTTGTAATCAAAATCTCCAATTACTTTGTATGCAATTTAAAGGAAATAATAGAAAAAATGGAACGAACTCACCATAATTTCTCTCCTCCTCCTTTCTAAGTCCAATCCTTATTTCCAATGGGCGCGAGTCGCGAGACCGATACCGATACCGAAACCGCTTTTCACTTCTACACTACAAAATAAAAATTGTTCAAAGTTCTTTTTTTTCTTTTTGTGTTCTACACTAAATATTATAGTTTTTTTATTATTTTTTTTTGCACCACAAAGAAATTCCACCACTAGTCTCTTCAATATTTCAAACACTTTTCCAATTTCGCACCAATAGTTTGCAGTTTGTTATGTGTTTTTCAGTTTGTTTCACTAAATCTTCTTCGTTCTTTAATTTAAACTTAGTTTTCTTTTTTGCACACTACACTACTTTTATTCTAGTTTTTTTTTTCTTAAATCCAAATTTTTTGTGTTTCTTTTCTTTTTTTAATGCCGCGAATTTTCAATACAATCCGGCTCGAAGGACCAAAAAATGTTAGACGGCGATTTGCGCTAACATTTTATGCAAAAACCACCAAAACCACTAAAATTTAATTATTGCCTCTTTTCAACGCAATTATTATTTTTTCCCCTTTTTTTTTATATAAAATAATTATAAGAAAAACAACTTCACTTTTTTTTCTCTGCAATTCATGTATTAACAATTTATTAAATTTTACAAATTTAATAAATTGTTTAATTAAATTAAGTATATTATAATTTCAATATAAATTCAAAATGGATAAGTTCGATGCGACGGTTTTTCTAATACTGCATTCTTGATCTGGAACTTTTCATTCTATTTATAGATCCAGAAAAATTTTATCCAAACTGTTGTGCAACGGTGATACACCTAGCCAGTCCCACTTTTTTGGTTGATAACGTTTTCTTGTATATAAAACAGATGACGCAGTTCACTGAACTTGAAAAATACAATGTAATTTTATATACACTGCGCCGTGATTTGTTGTTGTAAACACTCTATATTATGTATGTACTTTATATATGATTTATTTTTGATCGATTTTGCCATGCGGCAACACCGATCAAACTGAACGAAAACTATTGAACGAATCTTTTTTTGTCTGCAAATGTCAATATTTGATTTATAAAAGATAAACAAGTGAAATATGGTGTAGTGTTTTTTGTTGATTTATTTTGTTTGCAAAATTAGAAAAAATTATGGAACAAAAGTTCCTCAAATATTAAAATTTAATATAAAACAAACACGAGAGCAACCACGAAAGAAGGACTGGCTGCGCTGGACCAAAATACCCAGGACTAAAGCGATTGCAAACCTGCAATATATTCAACAGGTAAGTTGAAGTTTCTTTTATATATTATCAAATATATGTATGTTATGTGCTTTAATTAGCTTCAATTTTAGGTTGAGATGAAAACTTGCGCAGTTGGATGCATATTGAATTCATCAGATAAGTACAATTATGTTATTGTGTGAAGAGCTTTCAAAAACATTTTCACACGATTCAGCTTTTACATTGATATCTGTAAATCCAAAAAATAGAATGTGTAAAGAACTTCCCAATCTCAAAAACCCAGAAACAGATTAAGCAGTTTTTTTTAATATTACAGGAATTTTATTAAACCTTCGCAAAACCCCTGGTTTGAACAAAAACCAAAAAGTCAACGTAGACAACCCTGAATATAGGGGGGGTTTCAAAACTTTAAAGGATCTTTTAATAAACAAACCACGGAGGCCAATTAATATGCAGTAAACGCCGTATTGTCTCAAGACAATCATCTCATATGCTATGCAAGTCGCACACTAATGGACACAAACAGCATTACAGTACAATAAAAAAAGAATTGCTTTGTGCGGCATGGGGAACAAAGTATTTCCACCCGTACATATTTGGAAGGAAACTTTTAACTGAAACTGACCACAGGCTTTTGCTGTAAACGTTCTCAATGGAGGAGTCAAGCTCAAAATTAGTAGGATGACGAGTTTCACTTTCAGAATTTTATTACGAAATTAGATATAAGATGGTGTTAAAAACGTTAATACAAGCACTTTATCCCATATAGAAGCCCATGTGACATGGGCGGAGGCATTAACGTTATTGATGGCTGCTTCTCTTCGAGTAAATCACTCATTAATTGTTTCTTTTTGAAAAAAATTTATTTAAGAAGGTAAAATTCGAAGAACTCCAATCGAAATACAATACTTATTTATGTTAGGCAGCTAGATGAAGGAATTGCAATTACGTTATTAAAATCTCATTTTAATCCAAAGCAAATAAATGGGATTTATGTAGAAGAACCCAAAATGTTACAAAATTTGCAGACTACCAATAAGCCTCATTTAAGTAATGGACAACTAAAATTATAAAATGCCAAAAGTTATGGGAAGACGAGGAAAGATTGGTGAAACTCATTGAAAGGAAACGCCTTAGGGCTAGTCATCGAGGAATATCAGAACTATGCAAAGAATTACTAATGAAATATCATAGCCCCAAAATATATGTACGTAACACGAAATTCATAAACAACAGAGAAATGTGCAATTTGGAGAAATATGATAGAAAACCTTTCCAACGTAAATTTCAAATAAGTGAAACACCGCTTGGTCCAAACGAAATAACAAACATCGACTTTTTTATAGCATAGAAAAGACTATCTTGAGATAGACTAGGCCTGAGAACGTGGGTAGAATTTAGGAGGGCTTTGCTGCAATTTTTTCTCGAACCTCGGATGTATAAAAAGAATTGTAACCGACAATGAATTAGGTTTTAAAGCACTACGAGAATTTCTCCAAAATGAATATCTAAAAATACATTTTACTTCTAAAGCAACCACAATTCCAATGTCGATATCGAATGACTTCATGCATAATGAATGAAGTAATATAATTCCATAAAAAACATTTAAGACTTCTTTAAGGAATTACATTATGGAAGGAATGGCTGCACTGGTTCGGAAGCTACCATACAATACCAAAAGCTAATTTTAAATATTTGGAAAAATAATAAATTCAGATTTATGAAACTTAGCAGTCATGTGTCCAATACATGTGTAGGTAACATGTATTCGTGAAGTTTTGGTAAGTTGACACGCAGGATTTGGTAGCGGCCACACAACTCCAAAACCAAATTTAAAATATTTGAAAAAATAATAAAGTTAGGTTTAAGAAACTTGGCAGTTGTTTGTCCAATTATAGATCAGACATATCCGTGCAGTTTCTATAGAGTGGCTTGACAGGTGTGAGTGCTTGGTATACAAAAATTAAAGCTAGATATTTCAAAAATAAATTTTGAACTCAGTTTAAATCAATTTTAAACATAATTCGGTCGATTCATACCGACAGAAACGTTTTTATTTGTTTTGTAATATTTTTTGTATTGTAATTTTTTCCAATTTATGTTTAT